TATTTATTATATTTTTTTTATTTTTTTCTGAAGAGAAATATCATAAGAGTACGACTAATATTATTCTAATTTAATATACATGTACGCGATGAGAATTAATTTTAATAACATATTTTCAAGATAAGATTTTTATAAAGGATTCTGATAATGTATCTCTAATTCAAATTAATTAAAATCTTCGTCCAACTTATATCGAGTGTTCCAAAAGATGACTGTTATAATTTCCATGATTAATTCTCGAATTTTGAATTTTTTAACTCAAAATTTAATTGGACGTTCTTTATTCTCATACAACTTTTTAAACATAAATCATTTCTGTAATATATTAATTGAATATTATCCATAATTCACGCACATGGCTCTTCATTGAAGTATTTAATTTTTTTATATGTTAAAGAAATATTTTTTTTTTTTTTTTTTTTAATTATATGTGTATTCTCATATAAATAAATTATAGAGAGTATTATGATTACTTTTTACTTGTAGAACAAAATCAATGTTAACAAAATATCAACAAAAAATATTCAATTTTGAAAGCTGTAGACAACAGAGTAACAATTAAAAGAACTATTTAAATAATTAAGCAGTGAAGTGATAATAAAAATACTATTTGCAGATATTTTAGCCACGTTTGCAGATTTCTTGCGAAAGTGCTTTAAGTTTGTTGAAAAATAATTCTCTTTTTTTATCTATCTTTCGAAATGGTTTATCTCCCCCGGGGGAAAAATTATTCTGTTCCACTTTCTATTCAATTTATTTAATAGGATTCTATTTATCTAGCATGATTTCTAATTTTGCGTTATGGAATATCCATCTATAAATGTCATAACTCATATCAACGTATCACGTGATACAGTTCATCGGTTACGGTGGATGTCTGATCCGTGTGTACGGCGATCAAAGGAAATGGTTAACGGTGTCGAGTTAGAACGTCGCTCAATCGTGATGAATTTAATCGCGACCAATACACGCGGATGTGATTTCCGTAGTATTGTGGGTCGCTGCTTAATTGCCGTAATTGTGTGTCAAAGTAGCGTGCGCAACCTCCCACCCCTCCACCTCCCCCATCACCACTTCCCCTCCTCCCTTTTCACTTCCTCTATATGTCTAACAGTTATGTCAACGCAACGGCCGGCTCCGCTATGGCAGCCGCTATAAAGCCGGCGGATGTATGTGCATGCGTATATGTATATGTATATCGCACGTGCAGTCTATTCGCTCTCTAGGTATTCATGACACTCGCTCTATATTAACGCGCTATACTGCTCTGATGATGGCCTCGCCTTTGTCATGTAGCGATCGCTGCGAGCGAGGCATCTCGACAGTCGTTCCCGGATACGAGAAAACGGAAGGAGAATAGAAGGAAAAATAATACAATTTCACGCAATATTTCGATTCAGTGTTTTCTTACGACGTAAGTTTTTTTAAAGCACTATTTTACAAAGGTATATAATTTCTTTCTCTCTCTCTCTCTCTCTCTCTCTCTCTCTGTCGTTTGACGATGAATCTTTTTGCGCAAAGAGAGATTTGTGGTCCCGCCACGCTGTTCGCAGCCGCCACTACCACACTGCCGTCGTTTTAACAAATTCATACGCTAGGTGCGCTTATAATGAAATTAATTACAACCCCCGCCCATCTTGTTTCATTAGTACCGCTGGGAATAGGATAAACCGCCGTGCGGACGAAAAATGCGCGTAATAATATTTCCGCATTCATAAAAATGCAGGCTTTAATATCGCGCGTTCAAAATAGCCTTCACACACAGTAATAAGTGACGTTATAATGTAGAATAACTCGGTTGATTCTGTTTCAGATTGAAGGAGAGAATCCGTTTGGTTTTCGAGGAAATCTCGCTGCAAAAAGGAGACCTAAGGCGAGTATTAGCCATATTTTTATTTCTCAAGCTCGTTGGCGATAAAAACGGGGCGAGATACGTATCGTCGAACGGAAAGTAACGACAAATAATATTGAAGAATAAATCGATGAATTAGAGATTATATCGGTCGCCTGGACCTCACGTTTCGAAAAACTTTGTTCCATCATAAACGGTTTACAAATTTCTCCTTCCGGCGCGTTTTTCCACAAAGTTGATAGATTCGCGAGAGAGCAACGTTCGGCGCATCCGCGAGAAAAAGTTTCCCGTACGTCCCTCGCATATTCAGGATAGAAATTGAGTTCTACAAGTTGCGAAAGAGAAGAAAAAGCGGGGATGAGATGGCGGTAGAGGAAGAAAGATTTAGCCGAAGGGATCAAAGTCGCGAATTCACCAAGTATGACCGAGAGAAGGGGGAAAAGGAAGGCTGCGCCTGGTCCATGTAAAAGATGCGCCATTAAGCCCCGTCGGTTGATAGAACGGCATCGGCGCGATCTGTCGATTTAAAACTTTGAAACTGTCGTCTGCCTCCCCATCCCCCTCCCGGCATGCGGTGCGTTGAAAACAGTTCGCGACCCCAAAACCGCGAGGGACGAATGTATAAAATCAAACGAGCGGACACGGTGACACGTTCGGATGCTGCCTCTTTTACATTAACGATTTAATTTTTATTCGACAATTAAATGATATTTCTCGAGTATTTGCTTAGTATTCACAGTTTTTCGATACGACAAATTTTTCAATACTGCAGACTTTTTTTTATCTTGAAGTAACTGTACTGGCTATATTTTGATTGATGGCTTTTTTACAATAATTAGTTTGAATAAAATCAACTCTTTCGACTTTAGTTGTAATTTTTGATAAAGCTACAAATTCTTTAAATTGAACTGAATCATAATTTATTTATTTCTCTAAACGAATTGTAAAAATTGATAACAATCAGATCAGTGGTTTCCAAGAAAAAGATAGATATCGGAAAACGTGATTTTGCAGGAAAATCATCTCAAAAGTTTTGACGCTGTTCTAATATATTCAACTTTTTTTTTGGATACTTGTAGATATATTTAAAAAATTATTTTATACAACTCCAAATGTTTAGGAAATTATCTACATTTTCTTTAAAATTTTAAATAATTTTAATGTTGTAATATACATTTTCAAGTACATCCGTCCCTTAATATGCACGAGTCACCGGAAATTATAAGAATAAAATTTGAAAAGAAAGAAAGAGAGAGTGCTCGTAGGTTGTAGAAGCAGAAATGCCCTTCTATTATTTATTTACAGTAACGAGAAAACCATCTCCGTTTCGCTCTTAACGATTTAATCACGCGGCACTTTTCTCGGTGAAGCTTTTGCATGCACCGTTTTCACTGAGTGTGTGGTAAATTTTAAAGTCTTTTGCACGCGGGCGTTACGTTACGCTAATCGTGAATTACGACGCCATTATTCGGTTATTAACGTTTAAGATCTAACGAGCGTCGGAATCGAGGGCGCGAAACTTTTTCTATTTAAAACTTTCTCATCCGATACACAATCGCAGACGTTCGCTCAAACAATTATACGGCTCAGTCAGTCGGCAATAAAGACCGGCAGATGGATTAAGCACGCAATGGAGATTTATGCGCGCGATAAAGTCGTCTTTGTTCCCTCCACTCTTCTCGGCCGGTCTTAATTTTCTACGTTTACACTCCTTAAATCTAAATCCCGCGTAATTGACGCCTATAATTAACCGGCGAAAACATGGGACGCTATCTGATCTGTCGCGGGAGATCAAATCCATTCCCCGTTCCGGATTAATTTCAGAATAAAGTTGCCAACGATCGTAAAAGTTACTCCGTGCTATCTGAGGATTTTATTGGCCAGGAGAGACGACGACACGAATAGATAATCGGCGTCGATCGACCCGGCCGGCTATGGTAAAACATTCGAAGCCGGGGGTGGCGCGAGATAGAGACTCGTCGGTGCTCTCGGGGGAAAAGCGTAAAGCCAAACGAACCATTAAATTAATCAAACGAAAACTGGTTTGTTTGCCGAGGAGCAAAGGGATGGCCACGAGACGTAAGCGAGGAATGTTGATGTACAATAGAATACCAACTCGCGCGCAATCGTTCGAAAAACTTTACCAAGAGCGTATCATCCATTGTCCCTTCGTTCTTTAAGACATTTACAACGTGTCTTTCCTGATGCATGTAGTCTTTGAGAGTATATCGTGGAACATAGATAATGTCAGCCGGGTGTAGGATACAGAAAGAATGGTCGGAGCGACAACGATAAGTGAGGGTCGCCTTGCGCGTCGTTACGCGTCATGGACTTCGATTTTGCAAATTGAAAAGTACAGATTTGTCTAACGTTTGAGATAAATGTAAGACGTAAAAAACTTTTCTTCTCTGTGAGTAACTTGTTTTTAGTACCACTATTTTATTTGCGTTTATTTGTTCTAAAGATTACTTCGTGGGAGGATAAGTTTTATATTATTGACTAAAAGTTTTTAGAGAATATATAAAATAATTTAGAGACATGCTAATATAAAACTATTTCTTTTTTATATTAATTGATTAATATTTCAATATTTTAAACATAATTTTCTAATATTCTAAAAAAAAACTTTGATCTTAATTTTACATGCACAAAAAGGTGATATAAAAAATAAACACTTCAAAATAAATACGCTTGATATTCATGAAAGTAAATACTGCTTTTTTTATATCAAGAGACATTTAAACTTTATGTGAAAAATTTTGCTATTGTGCTGAAAAAATATGGAATTTTTTGAAAATATAACTTTTGAAATGTGAAATAAAAGTATTTTACATGAATAAAAACAGCTATTCAAACATCATTTTTGCATGAAAAATCCAGTTTTTTTACATGCACAAAAATTATCATATAATTTTCATAATAAATATTTTCATCATAAATATTTTTCCCAATATTGCAACCCATATAGTTATCAGCATTTTTAAAATTCTAGCTTCTTACAATGTCGTTAAATTATAAAAGTGCCAAAATCTTTCACAAATTATAATATTTCTAAACTATCTTATATAAAAAAAAAAAAATTGATACGTTTCTTATAGACAAAAAATGGAATGTACATTCACACAAAGATATTAATTGAAAATTTTAATAAAACGATAATATATTTGGTAATAGGTTTGTTTTGCGCCATTTTTTTTGTTTTTTTCTTTTTCAAGGCATCAAGCGACCAGAATGAACAAACGAACGAACGATCGATCCGCGGACAAGAGTTCGCTGTAATTCGAACGCCATCGTACGTATTGAACTTCCTACTACGAGCGCTCCACGTGCGTGCCGAGAATAATCGGCGGTCGTTAGATATATCTCGTTACGCGCTCCCCGGCGCGAGAGTAGCGTTCGTGAGTTGGAGAGAATCTTTACGATCGCAAGGAGTACTTAGGGGTACCTCGAGTATTCTGTGTATCCGCGGAATATGCAAATCACCGCCGACGACCGGGAAGGACGCAGAATCTGATGTATTATCAATCCACATGAATGGGAGATAGCTCTTCTCGCCCCTCTGCGAGCGACACGAAATTTTACGATCGCCAATATGTCAAACGGCTAATGCTTCTGATATTACTGACATAAATCTGCCAGGCGGTAATACTGAGTGCTCGCGATTCTCTTCAACCTGGCTACCATAGATTGTCCTGTCCCTTCGATTTCCCACGGTTAGCGCGCCATCGAGAACGCGACATGCCTGGACTGCGCATGAACCGAGAAAGGCGGAATATTTTTTCGGACAAGTCCTACATATATTTTGCTCGAGACATATCTCACGTCAAGATCTCTCTCTCTCTCTCCCCCTCTCTCTCTCTGTCTCTCTTTTTCTCGTGTTTCTTATTCGTAGCTCGGTAAACTTCATATTCAGTCTAGCGAGCGCAACGAATATCTTACCGGGGATATATTTATGACGAATTCTCTAACACCCGAGCTTGCGTTCCTGTCGGTCTTTGTTAAGGATTTAAAGATTTACATACGAATTTCATACATTCGTCGTAATTAACTTGACAGTGATAGCGTAGTTTTTAATTATTTTTTTTTATTTCTTTCTTTTTTTAAATTCTATGTAGTGTATATGTATGCTGGCTACATCTAAATCCTTTGACAGAACGCAAACCATGATTGTGCTTAACCCACATAAAGTTCCTCTTCGCGCAAAGACTTAGAACTGAGAATGGTGATGGCGAGGTCGACTTGGGAAAACGCGAGAGGCGCCTGGGGACTTGCAGTTGCAGGAGTTAATCCTTGATAAATCCTCGAACTCTGTCCTAATTCAGTATTGAGCTCCCTTAATTTCATTCCGTCAGTGATCTTTTAGCTTTGAACGCCGAGATCAAAGCCGGTGAGATCTCAGATAAATGAAAAATGCTGAAGAAAAATGACGCGTGTGAAATTAACGTCAAATCAAGATCGAGAGATCATAGATGGATTCAAATTATCACTTATCGTTACCCATACGAAATCGTAAATTATACAAGTGTCTTCGAATAACATTTGCAGATATAATATGCTACTTTGTGAACATGTGTGAGAAGAAGCAGCTTGCGTGAAATTTGAGAAAATTGTATACGGTCGGATCTAGCTAAGAATAATGCAAAAGCAAATATAATTTTCGTGGCGCGAGACGAGATACGAATAATAAGCAATTTTCAAATCGCATTATGCTATTACGCAAGTCTCAGTATGGAGGCTGAACACGGCTGAAAATGGAAAGGAAATATCATTGTGGAAGTAATAAGTTTTTGCGTACGCTCGCGATAAAATATTTGAAAAATTTAACGTCACTGTTTTTACAACATTTACTGGCACCTCCACCGTTATTATAATCGATTTCTCCTCTCATCAAAGATTAAAATTAAGATTTTTCTTTTTATATATATATATAATATGCAGACACATGTCAATGTTTAAAGTAGTAGCTTCATTTCATGACGATGGTTTTATGTTGCGAGTAAAATAACGGATATACCGAACCCCATTTAAACTTTACTCTATATTCTGTTTTGCGCGTCCTATCGGAATACGGCTCTAGCATAGATTCATGAGCAATTCGCCGATTATACGGCAAAAACCGACCATTACTGACTGCGGGAAAATTTGTGATCAAATATTATTTCGCGGATCCCTCTACATAATTTATCTGTATCCAGGTGCTTATTTTCCGCACATCAAATTCTTGTTTATCCGCGATGAAAGCAATAATCTCCTTATCGGGAATGATATCGATTCTTCCGCAGATAATATTTCTGACAAGCTCCGCGATATTACGTACAAATTAATCGGACGTATCTTTCGTCGATGGAACCGCCGATATTCGTGTAATGGAATAAATGGATTATTAGCTTAAAACTGACGTATTTATACCAGAAATGATAGGAGATGAATGTCTTTGTCGTAATATCAAACCGAAAGAGAATAGGCGAACCCCTGATTAAACATTATCTCGTGCATTTGTTAACTCAACATACTTACATAAAATATCAATCATTACACATCATTATAATAACGTTCGTTTTGTTTAAATAAGTTTATCGAGATTATACACACGCCGCTAATTACTTTATATTTAAACGAGAAATCGCGCAATATATAATACAATATTAAGTAGAAAAAATTCGAGAAATTCATTCTATTTTACATTCGCACAAAATAGCTCCAACCGGATTGTATTTTCTCTTTACAGCACTTTTTTTATCTAAATACGGAATTTGACGAGATATACGATATCGAGCACTATAATCGTGGTATAAATCCAGGGCGACAAAAAAAGAGAGATCAACCAAGTCGAAAGGGGGCGATACGGGAAGTGCTGTCGACAAATCTACGATCGATAGCGTTAATTTATGTCGCGGCCGATGGCACTTCCTTCGAAGACTGCTGGTAAAAATCTGTAAGAGCTCGGGTAAGAGCTGAGAAATGCCTCCATATATCAACGTTAAGCCGCTCCGTCAGACGCACTCGGATATTATCGTGAATGGTGCTGATGGATACTGAGAGGGAGAGAGAGAGACTCTTCCATCCAGCACTCGATACAATCCCGCACTTTATTCGAGAAAGTGCGCGCTTACAGCACACGCGCGCGTATAAAGTTATCAGTCGGGGAACTATCGATAGTATCGACAGTATCGGTAATCCCTTCCTATGGGCAGGTAATGGGTATGAATAATCTCTTCGCGCTATACGTACGCGAGACAACTTGCGAAGCTTTAGGAGAGGAGGAAGAAAGGGAAAAAGAAAAGAGGAATAGCGGTTCTTTCAGCACCGCCCGTTCGAAATACTCGATCGTGCTTTCACGCCTGAATTCAAATCTCTTCAGAGGTAAACGCTACTCTCAACGATATTCATGGAATGGCCACTATGAGACACGATAGACGCGGATAAAATTGACTAAAGCGAAACCCGACGGAGTTCGCCGCTGATGGGGCCGAGTAAATCTCATCGGACACTTGAAGAATTCCGTGTACATACCCCCGCGCGGGCGCGCCATATCACGCTAGATTAACCTTGATAGACGGATTTGCTTACCTTCCACGTCCAATTTTCGCGCAAACCTCTAATTTCACGGGTCTAAAGCTCTCGATCTGATTGTCTCAAACGAATTTTACTCGCATTTACTCGTAAATATATGTATATGTATATATATGTATGTACGTGTAAACTTATCCGAATTTACGAGTTGGAATGGAAAATAATTTGAAGCTTTCTGCGAGCGTATTCGTACATATACATATACATAAATATTGCATAGCGTGTACCTATGCTACATGCCTGTGCTACATCGACAAGGAACGCCACATGTTAAGCGGGCGAGGTCAGAAGTCGCGCGTGCAGGTCGACGGACGAGGGGGCGAAACGGACCGCGGGGACAGGAGAGGAGGTAAAGCGGCTCTTTAATCTCCGGCTCTTCCACGATAATCTTTCTCTGCCAACGTAATTGCTTAACCCGTGCAAGTAATAAGGTTATCCCGTCGGCCGTCATTGATCAAGCTCTTTAAATCGATCGGATCGGCGAATCCCGTGGATATAGCGCGCGATTTGTAAGGCCGGAAGGGGGAGGGGGATGGGGGAGGACATCGAGAAGATGTAATGCTCCTCTTCGATCGAGCGAACAGCAGTTCGCGTACGTACGTATAAAACGAATCGCCCGCGGTCGTCGAGATTTTCTCCTCGGCCTCGCTTTCCTCTCTCTCTCTCTCTCTCTCTCTCTCCCCTTCCTCCTCCTTTGTCACTTCGCCACTCTTTACAGTTTCACCTTCGGCCCCATCGAACTGTCTCGCTTCTTCCTACCTCTCATCTCTCTTGTCTTTCATCCTTTCTTCCGTCCCCTTTTTCCTGTAGGCGCGCGTTATCTAGACGAGCCGCAGTACGGCTTCAAAGCGAAATATCTTCATTGCCGAGTAGCTCAAAGATCCTCTCCTTTATTCGCGCATCCTATTTTGATTTGAATCTTTATGGAGGTAAACTTTTACAATGTAAAACCGGGCTTAGGGGTCTTACGAGAGGGTAGCAAGATAGCGAGATTAATTTAGCGCAGATTTTATCAGCGAATATTTCTCGCTTCTTAAAAGCGCGAGAGTGGCAATTGAGTTAAAAGTGAATATTGTAGTTGTACTTTCTCGTAGAGAAAGAGACAGAGTGACCGGTTTAGTCACTCGTCTGAGGTTAATGTACCGATAAGTCGTCGTCTTCTAACGAAGAGCGCGCATCCTGTTACAGTTGCCTGAATAGGGCGGATTTAATCAGGGTGCACGACGGAACGGATTCAGGGGCGCCCACAATAGCCGTGCTCTGCAACCAAGGAGCGGAAGTGGAGGTACTCAGTACAGGGCCAGACATCTACGTCGAGTTCGTCGCTAATTCCGACTGGCCGGGCCAGGGCTTCAAGGCGAAGTTCCAATTTCAACCATTGGACGACGCGCCGCATCCTGGTCAGTAACGAACGACGGTCGCTCTCGGATCGAGCATTACGAAAATTCATCCCTTCCCCGAACCGTTCCTCGATCATCTCCTTCCCTTGCCATCCTCTTTCTTCGATATCGCCTCGTTTCGCGATGTGTAAGACCGCAGCCAGACGCTTCCGCCACCGGATGAATCTTTGAAAGAGCCACGAGACGAGCCATTAAATTATCCGTTACTTCGCATCATGCACCAACGAAGCATCTCACGCGAATCATTCATCCATTGATCGTCCATCTCCATTCGCACGGCAATTATCATTAAGGAATACCAGCACGTGCACAAATTTTGTGCTTTTTATTAATAAGGATCTCTTCCAATCATTCAAAATCATTATGATATGATCATAAAATTTTTTTTCTTCTGTAAACATATATCTTTTATTTAAATTCTGCGTTTACATATAAATATATATATTTATACTTATGTATCAAAATTTGAACGATCAATCGAAAGAGGTTGATCGTAAAATAGGAGAGTAAATAATTATTAAATTTAGCTGATGAGAGATTAAATTATAATGAAGCGCGGACTCGATCGATACCGTAGTTTCAAGCGGAATCAGTTCGAAAGCTCAACATAACGCGTCGCTGTGCTGAAGCACGAAAGCGCCATGAAACAGAGCTTTCGGCAAGCTTTCCCGTACTGCCATCGGAGCTTTTCACGGTCGGCAAGGAAGATTGTGAAGCTTTCCGACGAACCGTAATACCCGAAGAGGGTGAGAAAGCTTGCATTCTCTGCAGATACTTTCGTTGTGCTTACTTGATAATCGCGATCAAACCATTCAACAATATCTTTTCAAACATTCGCACCATGGAACTTACCCGTTGCTATACTACTATGTCTTTCGACATTGCCATTAACAGATATACAATGTAGGAACAGACGAGATTGTGACTATTAAATGATAACCGAATTTTCTGCCTAAATTCAATATTCTAAATCATTTATCGTCGCCTTCATTCATTGTGAACTACACGTGCTGTACAAATTTGATCAATTTCGGTACTCAGTCGTTATTTTGACACATTTTGATGCAACGTGCTGGTATTTTCCAGAGGAAACACACGAGCAGCCTTTAGGTATTTACGGGGTGATGAATCATGCGGGTAGGTCCTTTGTGCTAAGGTAGATTGGCCGCGGTCCATCGCATACGCAGCTCCCTGTTGTAATTAACGGCACTGTATATTCCGAGGATAATTACAATAATGTGTTTCAGAGCCGGACAAGGTCCCGGGGGCCGTTACGGGGAACCCTAGGTACTCGGTCATCGGACCAGCTGTCAGCGCTACAAGTAAGTATGGCATGTGCGCGATTTATCACTTTTCTTCATCAATAATTGCGTCCCATGGTGCACTCTTCCTCCGCGAGAGATAGATAAAGTGGATGAGTTAAAGCAAGATCGAGATGTCACTTATCGAAGGGAGAAGTGACAGCGAAAGTTACTTCGGTTCACCATGAAAAAATGAAGACTTCCATCTCGATAAGCGAGACTCGTGATAAATTTATTAGATTTCTTCTCACATGCCGGTTTTGTGAAAAAAAAAAACTTTGTCACGCCCACGGGACACTTCTCTCGAACGAGTGAAACGTAATCTGGAAGATGTGAGGCGAGCCAACGGAAGGAAACAGGATACCACGATGTAAAATAAAATTTTACTTTGTACGTAACATACTTTTATGAAGTCTGAAAGAATAAGTGTAACGCTCGACCCCCGGAGGATACACGGTGCCTGTCGTTGTTTAAAGGGATTATTTTGATGTCTTCAGCGTAAAACGCGCGTCGGCAAATACGTGTAGAAATATGATTTTCCCCGGGGATGGTCCCACACACCACATAACTTCTAACGTAACGCAACGGCATATAAACTTTGTGAGTACTTTGCGCCCGTGGAATCATCATCCCGTATGTTACGGCGACCGGCGTTGAAAGCACGGACGAACTACGACGAACTTTATAGCTTTTTCATGAAAATAAGATCTTCGTTTTATATCCTAAGTATCCGCTGTAAATACGCTTGACAAGTAGCTTGGTTTCGATGACCCAACTTTCGTTCAGAGTTCAACGTGCTTTCTCTCTTTTATTGACACACATAATGCGGGCTCGGTTTAGCTGCATTTGAATGTAGTTGCCTCATGCGATATAATATCTATTATGTATTACGATAAAAGAGAAATAAGGTGACGAGAAGAAGGATGATGAAAAAGAGGGCGCGCTCTAAATTTATTTAATTCTTTGAATTTTATATAAAATATACGTGCCATATTTTTTGATAAATTCTTATAAGTTTTTTTAAAGAGTTCTCAATGCTCGTGCTCGTACATATTCGCGTACAGTTCTTTAATTAATACGTATATTCAAATCATTCCTCTATATTCCCAGATTTAACTCTGATCTCAATTTGTACGTAGAACCCTAGATCTCAACGTGTTTACTCATGTAAATCTATCTCCTAATACGGGTGTACAACAACAGTGGCGGTGGAGGGTAGAAACGCGCGTGGCAATGAGAGCCTCTAACCAGTACAACGGAATCATGAGAGTGCTCGAGGCTCGAATGGGAGCCGCCACCCTTATGAGACACCGAAGCTTACGCGCGCGAAGGCCGATCCCTATCCCAGTCTCCCGACCTACCTCTTCATGCAACACGCTTCGGTTTACCGTAAAATACGAAGCGCGCACAATGTACAATATTTACATATGTATATACATGCCTTTATCCATCCGCATATTTCTCTTAGGTACGCGATTCTTTGCTCCGAGTATCCTAAATTATCCGAGCAGCTGCATTATAGACTCGCAAAATTTGTGTATCCTGCGCATTTCAATCGCATTTTCTTGGAAAAAGTCTCCAAAATCTTTAGAAAATTTAGCCGCGCTAAAAATATAATATAAAAATTTATATGTATTTTTATTTTCTATTAGATTGTGTTTTATTGGATTGTATCACAGTTTTGATAAAATTGTTTCAAAACTTTTAAGCAAAATGTACATATCCGCTGAAAACTATAGAAACATGATAAAATTCATGATAAAATAGATAAAAACAAGAATAAAACAAACTTCGGAATCTGCAAACATGTAGAACAAAATGCAGTATTATCGAAAGATATACTTCGCTAGTATCATTATTTGTAGGTCGTTATTATATATTTCGCTAAAGAAACTCACAGGAAAGAAAAGCTTTTGAATCTCAAAATCTCTCAACATAAGTCAATTTAGCATATAAACGAACAACATGAATACACAGCAGACTACGATTTAATGAGTAAGCTAAGTAAGCGGACCAAGTTCATATCAGCTCTGATAAAGTGCGGCACTTAATCGCTGAGGAATAGAGGGTGTCGGTTTACGATGCTCATGTTTTGGTGCAGCTTTCCTCTAATATTATACAAAATGTAATAGAGTAGAGCATACACGCGCAAATATACACACACACACACACACATACATAGCGAGTAGTTTCGAGCAGCTCAGCTTTAAGATCGTTACAGAACGAGTTAATGTGGTAACGGGAAGAAGATTGAAATGTTTTGAAAGCGTCGGATCCGTAGGGGTCTCGATCATGGATCTCGATGGCGCGCACCAAACAGTAATTACATAAAGTGAGAACGTGCAACATCGTCGAACGTGTAAGTTACATTTGCGTAATTGGATGGTTACGTGAAAATATCGTCGCTTTTCGCGCTTTCGCGAAAGTGAGCCACCCTTACGGCGGGCGGAGGGGGGGGGGGGAGATCGACTTCTCCGTCTTTTTCCCTCGCGTCTTTCCTTTTTTCCATCGAACCGACTGCGTGCGTCGATAAGGCAATTACGTGCAAAAGTGCGCCGATAAATAGGCGGAGAAAGTCGTTCTCCAAAACGCGAAATGTCACAAGTTTTTCAATTTTCGACCGGCACGAGAGCAACAGGATCCCCGCTCTTTTACGAGAGGTTCGTTTATCGTGCGTCGCGTACGAGAACGAAGGGAATAAACAACGTTCGCTCTAGGGGGGTTAATGTTCCGCTAAAAGAAAAAAAAACGTACGTACGCATTAGCTCGCCGAAAAAAGAAGGCATTTCTCGAGATAATGCCCCCACAGCCGCTTGGCACGCGGTAAATTCAGAATGTCTCGAGAAAAAGCGAAACGGGAGGCGAATGATGGATCGAAACTTGGTAATTTTCTCCGTCCTCGCGTTCGGGAAAGCGCTATGTGTACGCGCGATGCCAACTTTGCAAACGACATAACACTGTTTCCCGCTATTTTACGCTCGTCCCTCCGTGCCATGGAAAGGAGAGAGAGAGTACGCTTTCCTGCGAGAAACTAATAATAACTTTCTAGCAGCGCGCGCGCACCCGCTTTACACTTAAGACGTAAGTGTCGCAAACTTCCCGCGACTTACCGCGCGCGTTCGCGATAACAAATTTCCCTCACTGCTATCAGCGCGATTTAATTGCCGATGAAATATCGTTCCCTCTTGTCGGGAGCGAGAATAAGAGGATTCTTCTTGACTTACGAGAATGTTATCTACAAAGTAAAGTTGTATCGCGCGCGCTCCGTCTTGTAAAAGATCTCTTTTACATCGCACTTGAAAATCTAAATCTCCTTAATAGAAGGAGGTTAGGATGCTTTGCCAACTCGATAGATCGATATTGCATGCCGATATTTGTCAAACATACGAGAATCTAAAGAATCTCGAGTAATCGGCCGTGGCAACAGATTCGATGACGCTATTCCATAATGTGTGCCGCTACGGCAATATATCGATGAATTGTAGATTGATGGGCAACTATGATGAGCGGTGGGGGAGTGAAGAGAGGGAAGTTTATAATTTATGAAGCCAAATGACAAATTTACATGACCGTAAGTGGAGCGCAAGCACTCCAATTTTATATTCTTGAATATTCACGTTATTCATCACTCTATGAATATGCACGGTCATCTAGTCTAGCGCATTGCACACGCATCTAGTTAAAAACATTCGACTGGCGTGTTGTGATCAGGTATACAGGCGGTATGCATAACGGTAAATGTTCTACATAATGAACAGCCGCATATCGATGCCGTGCACATATTACGATCTCCGCACGATATTGTTTGTCATAATTGTTAATTTATTAACCAGGCGAATATCTAACAACGTCGGGATGAAAGAAGTATATTCTCCGAAAACGCAGACAAGTGTGTAATCCGCGGTAAATTATGTTATCGCGATTCACCGGAAGTTTATAACTGTGCTCTTGAACGGACGATCGTTCAGCGCTCTCATTTAGAAAGCTGGAATAGTCGCGATGTAATCGCGGTGGGTTTTACGCAAAATCGTTATACGAGATAGAGACGCAAACGCGCAACGGTGGGTGATGAAATTAACTTAGCTTGTCGACGGAGAGAGAGAGAGAGAGAGAAATGTCGCCTGTAAGTACGATATAATACGCGCTATTCCTCGTCCCTATCCGGCGACATCCGACGCACAAATGAGCTTTGATCATAATATAACGTCGGTCATAAAGCGCATCCACCTGCATCTACGTGTCGGATGCAGAATGTCCACTCGAAGCGAAACGACCCGACGTGATAAAGCGGGTGCTAAACTGGCCGCGGCAAAAAAAAAAAAAAAAAAAAAAAGAGAGAAAGGAGCCTATTACCGGCACTTGTCCGGCGTACGCGATTGTCGAAATTTACGGCGCGAATTACATTTTGTGCCCGCTTTATTCTCTTCCCCATCGAAGAAAGTTTCTTCAAGATCTCCTCGGACGTTACGGAGGGAAATTATTGCTATGTTCACGTGTAAACTACGAGAGGAGGATTTAAGGATAATACCAATCGGCCGCGAAAAATATCAACGAATTGCAAAGTTCAGAATGAAGAATAACTCTTTTTTTTCAAATCCAAGAAAACAAATATTTAGAGTCTATTTCTAGTAGTTTTTTACGCTGGTTTTATACTAATTCCTTTAAAATATTCTATTCCGTCATAACTTTGGGAAATTTAAAGTTAAAAATGTAAAAAGTTTTTTAACTATATTTACCATAGCACAGTATTTTTTTATAGTGTGTCAAAATTAAATATATTGTTAAAACTTTCAATTCTTCAAAGATGTTTATTATAAAAATCAAGATTAGATAAGATTTTCGTGATTCAATATTGAATCTATTGTAGAAAAGTTATAAATTAAGCCAATAAAAATTACGGAAAACATTTTTAATTGTTTATTCAAATGTAAAGGTTTTTAGATTCGCGGGATAAAAACCTGATGTCAAAGCTAAATTAAAAAGATAACAAAACCAATACGATAAAAATCGTAATTGAAAAA